ATTACTTCTATGAAAATATAATCAAATTAATCGACTCCAATAATTGACATTTTTCAATAAAACAACAATAAAAAAATATCCCTTGATCTAAAAAAAAATGTCCACTTCCCTGTGTTATCATAGCTGTAAAACAACTCCAAAACAAAAAAATATACCTATAGCTTCCTGCATTATTAAAATGACTAACAAGTTCAATCGTTAAATTGATTAAACAAAGCAGGATGGCACAGATTTGAACGGATTACTAATACGAGATTTATTTTGTGTGGGAGGTGCTCAGATAAGCAGCGGCAGGGTCGATGGATAAAACAACTGATCAAGCAGATAAAGTGACTCCGGGAGCAAAAATAATCCTTATGTTTGATGTAGCAATAGTGGAATGATATAACTTCGAAAGATATTTCCCTGAATAAATAAAAACATGTATAAATTCGAAAATTTTAAAAGACTTTTATGGAAAGAGTATGGTTTAAAAGGTAAATTGACTATAAATCGGCTATAAAATATCTAAACGAATATCCGACGTTATATTTATTCTAATTCTAATTTACCTTCTTCAATAACAACAAATAACACGATATCATTTGATGAAAAAAATTCTTAGTTATTCCGTTCCATCGCCTTTAAAACTGTTTGAAAACAAAAAATATGCTTGTAACTTCATGGATTGTTGCAACAACTAAGAAGTTCAATCGTTTAATAAATTAAACAAAGCAGATGGCACAGATATCGACGGATTACAACGATAAGATGGAATTTGCATGAAACGTCGATCCACAGTGCAACTTGCTAATCCAATAAAACGAGTCATTTGGACAACTCCAGAAGGAAAAATAATGCTTATGGGAGATGTGGAAATAGTAATAATATAACTTCAAAAAATATTCCATTGATTGAATAAAAAAGTATCACTTTGAAACTTTTGAAAGGTTTTCGTGAAACGACGATGTTTCAAAACGTAAGTTTGCTAAATCTGAAGGAACATTCGATGTTATTTCGATGGAACCACAATCAAATTTATCGGCAGCAATAATTCACCTTCTCCAATAACAAGTGAGAAAATACCCACGATCCCCAATAATTGATAACTGACCTGAGATCACCATTACATAATTGAGAAACTGCCAATACGGGGATGAATACACCCGGATATTGTACTCCCCTATCCTAATACACCATGTATATTAATTTTGATATACGAGACACATCGACTGGATTAACCCGATGGACACCCTCCAGTGTTATGCTACACGTATCCGATTTCTGTATTTGCACTTTACCTTCGAATGTTGAATCTCCGCTTTCCCAATCGATTTACTACACCGTTACGAGAATTTATCGTATGCCTATAGCGGCTGCTCACCACTGGAGAGGGGCCCAGCGAGATGGCACACATACCGTATGCGTTAGAAAAAAAATTTCATGTATTTCACAATCTCACATCGGATGTATTCATGGAAATTCGCAGAGAAAGTTTTGCTTACTCATTCAAATTAACGGCATTTCAGACATTCTATCAACACTTGCAATCGAAACATTTGTGTGTGGACACAGCTCATGTAAAATCACGGGACAAAATGGGTTCTTCAGGTGTTCAGGCGAATCGTATCATTTGGTCAGTAAACATTTTCGTTTTCTGGGATATTTGTATTAGGCATTGGAGGAGGGTTCACTGAAGATGTTTTCACAGCCACTTCAAATATAGGAACATTGTTTGGCGAACGCTTTGCAAATATATTTCCACAGTGAGAGTACCTGATAATCACCAGTCTAACTGAAACGCTATGAAATCTTGACGAGTTCTAAAGTCAACATCAACCAATCGCCTTTTAATGATGTTCGATCATCGCCTGAATCTATCGGACTGCATTCATTGCTGTCGATTTTCTGAAGAGCAATGACATCTTAGTCAAAGGATCTGAAGTCCACATCAGCCAAAAGTCTTTACGATAATCTTTGATGAAATCTGCGGAAATTTTCGCTAGTTTTCTGACATCATAACCAGACGAAACAACCCTACTGCCTAATGCATATTTCACACAATCATCCGCATGATCCCAACAACACCAACCCCTCACCCAAAGAGTCAACCGCGTTGCAACACAGTAAAGACGCCCACAACATTTCGACGATGTGAGAGTACCCCGTCAAATGGATTTTCCAACCGCACAATGCGACAACCCCGGGCTTTCTGCACTAGTCGACAAATTACTGTTTTAACCATTTCTCTGGGAAGCCATACAATCCACTAACTTCCTGTCAACAATTTCCCTATTTCGAAATCCCTTATGGCTGACCACTGCTCACCACCCGGTGCAGTATTTCAGGATTTAATTCCAGGGGATTTTCACTGGTTGTACAAACAAAAAAGTGCAAAGGTTCGTGCTACATAATCGTTCGCGCGCTCCAACGACTCTGTCATCCTCCGTCAGGAAGTCAAATATCTCGCATGTGGCTTTTCCATGCACCACAAAGTGTTTACCAAAGCCGGGATAATAACGTCATTCGTAAATACCCACCCCCCGCCCGGTTAGCGAGACAATATGGATATTTCCCGTAGAATTTTCGTCAAACAGCAATTAGAAGCGGTGGCTTGGTGCAGATTTAATGGATGCAGCATGTTGGTTATTCACATGAGTTTCTCCGTTCAAGTTCATCACACCGGGTTGAGCTGAACTGCGCGGATTCAGTTCTATTCATCATGTATGTTCAATGGACGAATATTCGAGTCATTCAATTCGCCTGACGCAAAGATTTAACTCCAAACACGACTAATGCTATCTTAATCAACAGTAAAATGGGCTCAGCCATCTGAGACATTGCGATAACAACGCGTGCGGTTAATCTCGAGATACTGACGGATTAAATTAATCGGTTTATTCCGTCTTCCAGGGTTGCATCATCTCTCAAACATCGCAAGAACTCGAAATCCATTAAACTCTATTGTCACGCTGTCATTCGACGGTACATCTCTCTCCTTTGTACACCAAACTATGCCAGCCCCTCTCCTGTATCGTTGGGTAATTGCCATCGTTTTTCAGGGCATACGTACGATATCCGAGAGGAGCCCGCATGCAAATTTAAACTAGAGATCTTATTAAACTTCAGCAGTTTTCATATTTGCATATTTAAATTTCCATTTCAACGGAAAAACTGAGGACGGAAAAAATCGCGTAAGAGAATTGTAGACGTGGTTGGGAAAGTAAAAGTATTATTTTTCTCGGTTTTTTCTTGGTCCTTGTTTTATTGCAGTACTTTTTAATCTTCCGTTTTTCATGGACTCGCTTTCAGCTGTTAGTAGGTCCAGAGAAGGGCCACTGACGTCGTTAAAATTTCATCCGTGCGCCCGAGCTTTTAGATTAGTTCACGTGCGTTAAAAGAAAAAAAAATGTATTGTTTCTCATTTTTCTCTACGTCCCAGCTAGCTCACGTTCTCCTTTATAAATGAATTTTTGTTCCTCACATTTTTACGAGGGGTCATCTAACTACCCTTGAGATATAAAAAAAATTATTGGCGAAAGACGATGCAATAAACCTCGACAGAATTGCTCACACATGACTCGACGATGGAAGTTTCGAAGTTAACGCACACCTCTGTATAAAGTTATAACGCGAAATGTGTTTACGCCTGGTGGGCTCCATGTACATGGTCCTGACACAGCGGTGGGGTATTGCAAGGACATGTAAGTTAGTTAGGGAACGAGAGACACAAAGTTTCCGATGTACTGATAATGTCGGTTAATATCATGTGAATTGTAATTAATATTCCTAGTGGAGAAGTTAATTGCCCCTTTTCCCTGCGTGCTGTTGTACCAAGAAACTCACACCCAAGTTTTGGAAACATTTGCGGGATATATGACTCTGTGGAGAGTCATGGGGTCAAACTGCGTGACGCTGAACTGCGGAGAGCTGCATAATATTTTTTTTATTCCAAGGTCATGACCTCTGAGGGATGCTAGTTTAAACCTTTAGTCTAACACAAAGAGAACAAGTTTTTAGTTGTAGTTCTGTATAATTTTGGCTCAAACCTAGCATAAATGCTGGATGTGAGCCTACATTTTCGGTTATTTTACGGTAATCTTAGTTTCTGAATTCTAAACCTTTTCGTCCTTAAAGTGTTTTCTTTGCCTCTTCTCAAATTGATCTATTCATGTTTCAAATATTGATGTAATCCATCAATACTTCGTTATCAAGTACATCACCAATTGTGACACCTTGACCCAATTTATATTGATTTAATGTTTAATTAATCCTGTTCTTCATCCCTTTTGAATATTCTTAATTAAAAAATTGGCTTGTTCTGATTTCTAGAATATATATTCATTGTCATTAATATTCCTAGAGGAGAACTTAATTGTAATTCAGTTCATTAGCCTTTTCCCTGCGTGGTGTTGTACCATGAAACTTATACCAAGTTCTGGAAACATTTGCGGGATATATGACTCAAATCTATCAAATTGCATGACACTTAACACGAGTGTTGCCTAATATTTCTCTCAGTCCAAGGTCATGATGTCTAAGGAATGCTATTTTAAACCTCTGGACTAGTCTAACACAAAGAGGAAAAGTTTCTGGTTGTAGTTCTTCATAATTTTTACTCAAACCTAGCGTCAATGCAGGTTATTAGCCTGTATTTTCGTTCCAAACCTATTCGTTCTTGACTTTCTTTCTTTTCCTCTTCTGAAATTAATCTAGACATGTTTCATTACTTCTTTGTCATTACGCACTGATGTTTAATTAACCACCAGCTTTCTTTCCCTTGCGAATATTGTTAATTGAAAAACCCGTTTACTTTTATTTCAAGAATATATGATATTTAGAAAAAGTAAAATTTCGTTCCTCAATTTATGAGTTTCTTCTTTTGAAAATGAACAAATAGCTTCTTATCCCACCAAACAAGTTGTCTCTCGAAAACTAGAACCTTCTGTTCCCTGTGTTACAACTTATCGCAGCCACATCGTGCCCTCACATAAATAAATTAATCTGAACTCAAAACATACCACGCATCACGAGGATCCGGTAGCGTCCGATGAACGGAAATAAGATCACTGACGTACTGATTGAAAGCATTATTCATCCATCCGTAGTCAACCAGTTTCTTCACCTCAGCCGACATATTAGTCGGCAAATAAACAGGTTTCCCCATTGCCCCAGGATCTTGTTCCTTCGGTGCAGCTAATACCCCACCACCTGCAAAAACCCAAACAACATCGCCATCAGTTTTCCCAATTCTGCAAACCTATTACCGACTAGCTTAAACCACCACCGAACGAATTTTCCTACCTTGTTCGGGTCCCGCTTGCTGATTCACCTCCGACTTACTCGGTGGATTACCGGGACTTTCTCGTTTCACTGGTACTGGTAGCGGTACAAATTCGTTGGCAATTTGTGGTGCTGCAACACCTGATGGCGCCAACACGTCCGCAGCATTACGATCCTCAGTGTAAAGAAGAAAACATACGGTCAGCCAGACAGCAGCTCCCAATACAGCGACTTTCAGCCACAGCGATCGTCTACGGGGAAACGCTGCCATGATGTTACCCCCCCGGACTAACGAGTTTCTTCTTGAGTTAAGACCAAATCACCGAGCTTTTTTCGGAACTGCGTTCCCTGAAATGGCTTCAACTTTCTTTCTCCCCTCCGGCTTGTGGTACAGTTCAGGTTGTTAGTTTCCTCCACCTCCTGGCGGATCGATGCCAGCGAAAAATTTTCCGAACGGTCGGCTACCGTTACCTCAGCAACATTTTGACCAAGCGGTACTGGCACACCTCGACCCTCGTCCCAGGGACGAATGAGTTGAAGGAGCGATGGTAAATTGTCCCTCAGTCAGTTGGTCGTATTGATCGGGGTCTCGGAGTTTTGCGAGTTCTTTCAGTGGGTGGACTTGACGATCATGGCTTGTGTGAGTTGATTGGCTGCGGCAACTATCGCAGATGCTGATGTCTCGACATCAAGCAGATGACACTTTCTAATTGGATTGGATGATATGGAGTTGTAACTTCGGGTAGTGACGCGTTGTGATATGTAGCTCGCGGTGTCACCGCATAGTTGATAGCTGAAACAAATTCAATGAGACGTGATTAGAACCTTGGGAGTTTCATAGGTTTGCGGTGTAGATGTTAATGGATAGGGGGAATACTGCCCCTATGGCTGTTGTGATGTCTATGACGTTTCAATCATTCTAAGGGTTTTAGGAATCCTTTGAGCGAGAAATATGATCAGAGTATCAACTATTTGACTTCAGCAGGAAAGTTAGAGATGGCAAAAAACAGGGATTCATCGACAAGCAGGAGAGAAAAATCTCATTCGCATCATCTGGTACTGCGAAATAACGAATTTTTGAGCCGCAAATTTTTAATGTTGATATCCCCGTTGATAGTAGAATGAGATTGAAACTTCCTGAATGGGGTTTTGGATAGTTGAAAATTTAATAAAAATACATAAATTTAGTAGCGAAGTGGTAAAACGGTTTAAGTCAACTTATCTCCCAGTTGAATTTTTGAGTCACAAATTTTTGTAATCACATTTGTTGTAGCTCTCAATCGGCTCTACAAAAAGGGTTATAAGAAAAATTTTGTTATCTTCCTTAGATTCTGAGATATTCAATGAAAACTGGTCAATAGTCAAAATTGACTTGTACCGTTTTCCCAATTCCTTGTTGAATTATAATGATTAGTTACAAAATTGGACATTCACGACGTAATTGGTTACACTGAGAGAAAAAAATACTTTTGATGAAGGAATTCTCTCGAGACAAGAGAGTGTCATCCTGTTGGAAAATTCTTTTCTCTTAGTGTGCACGGAGAGAAATATCCAGTAAAAATTACAAAACAATTCACATAATCCGCAATGGGGGAACCGTTTTTTGGCAATTTTTGTAGGAATGGAAGAGAAAAAATCTGAAACGTTCAGTGAATTTTCAAGTTCATCACCGAACAAAGTACGAAATTGTCACGTAATTTTTCCCGAAGAAGTAAAATCTCATAGAAACTTGCCGACTTATTATGCCTCCAAAATAAAAAATTCTTGAACGTTCAACAATTTTTATGAAGCTGGTGAGTTATTTCTACGTTCCGTTCCGTAAAATTTCTCAATCGTTGGGGAAAAATTGCGGAACGACTTGTTGTCCCCACAGAATTTACATGGCGATTCGTACAATTTCAGTTCCGACTCACACTTTTTATTGAATTTTTCTCTCCATGTGGGATATAACCTCTCAAAATAGCAATTATAGTGCTTAAATAAACCGTGAAAAATACCAAAAATCCCGTCTCGACACTTATTTCGACAGAAACAACGGACTAATGCTGCATTCACTTCATTTAAATTACGAAGCCCCTAACCAAATAATCAATACATTACTATTAACATGTCAACTAATTCAAGATGAGATGGGGAAATTCTCGAGTACTCTCTAGGCATTCATTAAAGTTGTTAATATTGACCATCACTGGTACATGACTATGTCATTATCGCCTGCTGCAATGAGCGCAAAAGTGGTACGAATTTTTGAGCACCATCGATAGCGTTGTATGTGCACATAGCCGAGTAGAATGAATATGTAGTTGGTGGTGGAGAGCAACTGGAGGATTACTGTTTTGGCTGCCAGGTCAGTCCTCCCACCCCATGTCTCGCCTCTCTCTCTCTCGGCCACTTTTACGGGGGTTTCTATATCTATATTCGAGGGTACATGAGAGAGGCTGAAAACAATGCACCCGGTTATAACGTTTTCATGGTAACCACACACCTATATAGAGAGCTGGAAATATGTACGATGCTTGTTCAGCATAAGCAGGGCAATGCAGATACTTGTTTTTGAAATATACCAACATGGATGTTATTGGCATGGCTACGGTGGTAATGAGAGAAAGTGCAGTCGCCTGTGAATCCTGTTGATAATGCCCATGCCGATATGCGAACTTGCGGGGCTGATTATGAAATGTAGGTATGGTGGAACGTAAAAAGACAGTGGGAAAGAAAATTGGAAAATGTGACGAGGAAATATGAAGGGGTCTAGGGATTTTTACAGCTAATTAACACTGATGTAACTAACTTTATTAATTGGAAAGCAGGTCTTTACGTATTGAAAGAAGGTGGTGACGAACTCAGGTAGATTATCTGATACATAAAGAGTCATTGGTTTCACTCCTCCATTCCTTCATTCTGTTTAGGAAACGGAAGTCATGAGAGATGAATGCCTTTTGCCTCTCGACATTATACAGTCAAGGCTTCATATAAGATACCTTAGGGACAGTAGGAGAGTGGACATCCGGGAATCCGTATACCCCCACTACGCGCGCTTAGGTATAGAGAGGAGAAAAATAGGGATCAGCGGTTTGAAATAAGATACCTCGCTCGTTGCGCCCGAATTCCATGGAATATTCATTTTTACTGAATGGATATTGATAACTAATCAACTTATACGAGTTTAATGTTTTGAATGCGTATAGCCCGCGTTCCCTTTTATCTCTAAACATAACCCCGCGTGGTAGAATGGCAGCTGATGTTGGGGGATTGTTGGGGGACTTGAGAGTAATCACTTCTGGACAGCTGAACTAGAAATTATTGAAAGTACGTAAATTAATTGAATTTTAATTAGGCTTTATTCTATTAAGATAATTCTGCGTCATCATTTTAATAATTATAGCGTCGAAGAAAAGAGGTGAGCCTTGGGATCGTTTAACCCTTCTGATTACTTCACTTGACTCTCACGTTTGAATTCTTGACCCTTAAGGTCATTTGACCCTTATGATCACTTCGTTCGTCCCTCCCGTTTGATCCTCAACTCCGTTTGATCCTTATAATCACTCTTTTCCCGTGAAACAATTATCAAGGCCATAGGTATCTTATGAGAAGCCCATGGAACTAAACATTCGGGAGGCGATTAAGCCTCTACAACTATAAAATAACTCCAATACGGATATTTGATAACCCCAACCGTCCGTCAACTACACACACGATATATTACCCTCTTAATGACCATCATCAACAACAAGAAGCGAATGGAAGAGGTCAAAGATGCTGCAGAATTTTAAATTGTGTAATATAATCTTCATGACGTTAATTCCTTTCTATTTGATAATTATACAGAATATTACCAATGAGTGAGGCCCCTAATGGACTAACAGGTTATGTACATTATCTGGTAGCTCATGCATGCACGTATATTCCGCACCATTAGATCCGTAATTGTTATGTTGTGTGTGTGTGTGTGTGAATGTTGGCTGGAAGGTGCAATTTAAATGTCATAACAATTGAATCGTACGATTATCCACAATTGCCCCGGATAAATATCAATTCTTTACGTCGTTTGAGTGATGAACTATTGCGGGTAATAATGTCAGGAGATCTTGTGAGGAATAATCCCCATAATAAAAATTCATCAGGGCATTTTCCCTGCGTCTCGATTTATTACTCGATTAGTTCAAGCCAGGCACGTCATATAACCTTTCTGCTTGATAGATTGCACGCGTAAAAAATGAAAAATCGAGGGAATTTTGCAGATTGCGGCGGGAGTAATTGAACACTGAATAGGGAATGAGGGGAATCTATGCTTAAACTCATTATGATGAAGGCAATTTCGGACAAAACGAAATTCGATTTATGTAATTATAATTCCACTGTTCCATCAGCGCGATTGGTGTCTATTTTATATAATCTATTTGAACGGGAGTACTCTGGTGTGCAAGCTCATGACAAATGCAAGACTTGGATTTGATATTTTGGGAGACATGTGATTTATTGAATTTTGAATCGACTTTCGGATAAAGTCAGTACAGGAGAACTTTTGGATAGCTCATGAATATTCTTTATATGTTATTCGTGGTAGCATTTGGGGAATGACATAGTAAAAAGTAGGGTTTTGAAGACGTCATTTGGGACATTATTTCTAAAGAAAAGCATGAGTAATATCTCGAACGAATGGAGAAAGTAAGGCGGATTTCATGAGTACCATCGTCTTGCGACGAATTTTCATGAAGCCCGCCTAACAAACAATAGAGAATTGAATACCATTCTATGAAACATGAATAAACGAATCATAATTGTCCAAATAATTTAGGTCAGAGGAAAATAGAATAATTCTACTTTCTTAATATTGCGTTTACTAAGGTTTTCTTCGAACAAAGTTGATTATAATTAACAGCGAGAATTATGAGATCACATTTCCCACATCTCACATTTTTGACGTTAAGGATAGGAGAATCTGAATGCAATATAGTGAAAATGATGATCGATTTTTTCACTTTGAACAAATAATATTAATATCCAAATACAAAATGTCTGATTATGAATAAAAAGAAGCATTGACTCAATATTCCAAATGAAGTTTTAATTTTTAATTTGGTGCTGAAAACACGAGATGACAATATTCTAAGCACGGAATTATATTGATGAGATGAACAACAGATTAATTGAATTACCGTGTGAAATTACTAAAAATTGATAACAGTGTGAGCACGCACTTTTACCAGAGTATAAACAAACATTGAATTCCAGAAATTCACACTCTAAAGTGTGTTCCAGAAGGAATTGAATTGTAATTATGATTAAAATCTTGTTTAGTGAGCATAGGAATTAGAACATGAGCAAATCATTTATTGTAATATGAAAATCCAACAGCTGATGAATTGGAACATATGATTCTCATCGGTCGCATTGCCTTTGGCAATGAGAATGATTATAAACAATTAATTGAAAAGAAGAATATCGAATCTGACAGGAAAAAGGGCATCACCTTCATCAACGTCAGTACGATATAAAAATATCATAATAATGTCTTGAAATTCAGGTTACCAAGTTTAAGAACTTTTTTTAGTCTCAATTGAAGACACAAAAGTCATAGATTGATGAAGTAGAACTTAATTGGGGTCGATGGTACCAACTACAGCTCCAAAATTCGTCGAGACATGATATTTTATTCATGAAATTATACCTCTGCACAACTCCTTTGTCACCTTCATTGAATTATCCAACGGCAAATATTCCAATTAAAAGTGTCGCGCGGTGTATAATAAATAATTAAATGGAAATTGCTGGAATGGTCCAATTGCCGCA